TTTTATATAGATTAGACCGTTGGTTTTTCCGTTTGAATGGTTTTACACTAGTAATTTTTTTGGGGCCCTTTATAGCTTGCTGTTCGGTGTGAGCTAATGCTCCGTGTTGAAGGCCGTACCTTGACCTATAATGGTTTACTTTTATAAATTGTAACTTGGATGGAGAGTTGTCTCATTGGCACTCAAACCACATCTTCCTATATCTATATACATGCAAATACCGTATAGCGGAGAGTTTTACTTCTTAATTTACTAAAAAAAAAACAAGAATGTGTCAATAGTACACGGATGCCCCACTCGCACTTTCATTTTCTATGTTCAGTGGACCGTGAAATTGGGGTCAAAACTCTAATTTGGCATTAAAATTAGAAAGATCATATCACAGGGAACATGTGTACTAAGTTTCAAGTTGATTGGACTTCAATTTCTTCAAAAACTACCTTGACCAAAAAACTTTAACCTGAAGCGGGACAGACGGACGGACGGCCGGACGGACAGAAGGACGGATGAACGGACGCACAGACCGAAAAACATAATGCCCCTACAACATGTAGGTGGGGCATAAAAATCAGAAGACATCACAACTGTCCCGCAAAGTAAATGGATTGAATTTAAGGATGTGGTATATTTGCGTATGAAATGACTATCCAGTAAAGGCAAATGATAAAAATTGTGATCATTACAAACCGGTTATCGCTTGGCTTTTAACAGTGAGTAATCCCCGTACCACATAAAAAGTTCGTTTCAGCCCAGGAATGACAAATATTAAACGATAATGTCATTTTCTACATTTGCAACAATGATATCTTTAGTTTGTGCATGCAATACTTGTATCTCAATATTTTCAAAGTTCCCTTTTCTAAGGGCCATAACTAAGGCAAAATATCCATTAACTGAAACGAATTTCAAATACCATCAGCCGGTAACAAAAACAACTCAATCAATTAATTAATTCAGGCCTTGATGAAAAAGATAGAAAATGATATTTCAAAACAATTATTTATTTTGAGTCCTTTTATAACTTAGGCAAAAAAAAACGCTTAATCTGATCGAAATTCAACGATGCTCTGCATCTTCTTATGATGAAACCATATCGAGCTAATAGATAGACAGGGACATATGAGAAAACTAAGGTTATAGGCAGAAATTTTCAAATTGGTGTCATTTTCGGCAAAATAGTCTTAATTGAAAGTAAATCAGTCAACTAAAAACTTGACCGATAAATAATAATATCTGACAAACTAAACAATATAAAAATCATGTCAAGGTCAAATAAACACTACAAGTCAGACATTTGTACCACTTGGAATCTTTTCGTTTTTTTAGGTTTATGCATAAATCATGCCGTTGATTTTCTTGTTTTGAATAGTCTATGAGGTGTAGACTTTTGCTCCGCGTTGAAGGCCATATGGTGTTATGTAGTTGCTAGCAAAATCGACATTTGGACTCTTGTAGAGAGTTGTCTCATTGGCATTCTTAACAATTATTCTTAGTTTTACATTTTAACTATATATCAATTGAATCGAGCGTCCCTGATGAGTCTTTTGTAGCCGGGAAAACGCGAGTTTGGAGAATACAGTTATAAGTCTGTATGGTATCTTTTGTAAATGTTTTTATTATCTGGGAAACAGACTTAACACAGAATCTTAAAATTGGGCAATAAACTATGAAACTGAGCTCAAGGTCGGGTTGACACTTCTTGCCGGATATGTCAATTAAATCTAGCCTATGTCTTATAGTTTCTGAGAAACCAACCTTAACGAGAATTGATCGAAGAATGACGGAAGTCAGTTTACATTGCCAATCCGACATATTACAGTCATCCAATACAACCAACATTGTCCACCCATTGTATTTAGTATCCGATACGAACCTCCAAACTTATTAGAAAAAAAATAAACAATAAAAAATGAAGTAAATTTCAGACGAACCATTCGCGAATAGCATGTACGCCATACAACCATTTCACATGAAAAATAAGCATTTACTAAGGAAACATGAAAATGAGGTCAATGTTAGATGAACCCCGTTCAATATTCGAGAAGAAATAACAATCATTGCATACGCTATTTGTATGTGACCAATTGCTAAAAAAGTATCAGACAAAAAAAACGAACCATGAAAACATAACATTGACAAATGAACCACGGTCCGTTTCCGTTGAAACCTACCGGTCGGACATATACGTCCTACAATATCAGCCTATACACGAACGAAACCACGAAAATGAAATCAAGCACTATGGAAAATTATCTCATTCAATTATAAGGCATTAGTATATACAAAATTTGAATCATTCATATCTTCTCTCAATATGATTTAAAAATAAACTGTTGACCGACATACTAGTAAAAATTCAGAAAAAGACAAGGACAGCAACATTGCTTATCAATTTAGCCGCTGGGACATGATCTAATGGGCAAGGCCTGAAAATGGTCGACAAACTGAGATGTGCAGACAGTAATGTAACTTTATTGAAAATATTCTTGTTTATTGTAAGTAGTTTCTATTAATCTCACTAAATCAGAAAACTTAACATCGAAAATTGCGAATAAATTCAAAGTCGCCGTTTTGTGCCGACCTAGGGGGCAGGGCCTCAAAATAGTCGTCAAACTGATATGTTCTGATAGTTTTGTAACTTTATAGAAAATACCTAAACTTAGCATAAAAAATCAATTCAAAGTGGCTAGACCATGACTCAGGAGGCAAGGCTTCAAAATAGTCGTCAAACTGATATGTACAGATAGTAATGCAACTTTATATTAAATAACAATGATCTATCACAAGTAGATCATATCAAACAAAATTCAAACTTAACAATTGTCGTCGCCGGAAAAGCAATCCCTAAGATAAGCTTTCAGCTACTTTCTTCGCAGGCGAGACAAAAACCATATAAAAAGATAGTGACGCCGTATTTGCATCCCCATGTTTCGCATTCTGTGGCTTTCTTCTCAGGCGATTTTTTTTCAAATATAAAGATATATTAATAATACTCATTATAACGATCGTTTAAATATTTACGAATACTTATTTTTAACCGAAGCGTACGGTTAATTAAAGCATGCTTGGCTTTACCAGCGGTAAATTCAGAACAAATTGATCAGACTAGTAAAAAAACAGATACTCCATATGCCACTCATTTATAGAAAGGAATAAGGTTTGTATTTATTTCAAATATGTCATTTAGTTTCGAAGTTCAAATGGATCCTACAAAATATGCACATCTTAAAATTGACATAAAGCAGAATCATCGGACAAACAGCAAATCGGACAAAAAGCAACGGACAAAAAACAAAAGTGTCGGACAAAAAGCAACGGACAAAAAGCAAAACGGACCGAAAGCACCGGACAAAAAGCAAAAGTGTCGGACTAAAGCAAAATAATCGGACAAAAAGCAAAACGGACCGAAAGCAACGGACAAAAAGCAAAAGTGTCGGACAAAAAGCAAAATTATCGGACAAAAAGCAAATCCCGGACCAAATCAAGCGTTTAATCGTCTTTGCATAACATTGTGATTGTGGTGGTGTCCCCAAGGCTGCGTTCAAATGTTTGGGGCATATGTCACAAATGTTTACATCGATGCACTCCGGTTGTCCGGGTCTAAATACAGCACAAACAACATTTTCCAAAAGACCAAATGAGTGAAAAAGTATATTTTAACAAAACGCATTTGACTAGCAGGTCGAACAACAAATGTTCTTAAACCCTGCGGACTGCCATTGGCGATTGCCAAATAAACGGATCACAAGATATAACAAAATAGATCTTATTATTAATTTATTACCAAACAGAAAACAATAAACTTGCGGAAAAGATGGCACACCACAAACATGAGATGCAAAAATTTGTACACCATATCCGGATTTCGACAATTAATGTCTCTTCAGTGATGTTAGGAATCGAAACGGTATTTGGAAGGGCACTGATATAATTAACCTCAATTTAGGATAGACTCTTGAATTTTGAAAAGTCAAACTATGATAGGATGAACGGATCATATAAACCCGAAGGCAAATATAATACAAGCCCAAACGAAAAAATATAAACACGTCTTAATTGAAAACAACGTTCAAACCTATGATTGCGTTGGATAAAAACCGCAATTTTTATACGTGTGCATGCAAAACACATTTCTTGGTAGAGGGGTCAAAATACAGCACAAACAACATTTTCCAAAAGACCAAATGAGTGAAAAAGTATATTTTAACAAAACGCATTTGACTAGCAGGTCGAACAATTAACTGATGGTTGTAAACCTGCTGACTGCCATTGGCGATTGCCAAACAAACGGGATATATATATATATATATAATCAATCATAGGTTTGAACGTTGTTTTCAATTTAGACTTGTTTATATATATATATATCCCGTTTGTTTGGCAATCGCCAATGGCAGTCAGCAGGTTTACAACCATCAGTTAATTGTTCGACCTGCTAGTCAAATGCGTTTTGTTAAAATATACTTTTTCACTCATTTGGTCTTTTGGAAAATGTTGTTTGTGATATATATATATGTAAACAAGTCTAAATTGAAAACAACATATATATATATATATATATGTATATGGATATATGAGTCATTATAATATATTGACTATATTGCACGTGCTTGACTGTCTGCTTATATATATAAAACGTTCCATAAAACCTGTCAAGATGGTAACTAATATATTATGTCCTAGATAAGACTTACGGGCTATTTTTAACTTAATGTTATAATTAAAGAAACAAAATGGCAGGCATTTACCATACAGTTATTTATTTATCTATTTTTTAAGTTGCGGCGTTTTCCTTATAAAATTAATATTCGGTCTTCGGATAGTTTCTCGTATGTCATATGACTAAAAAAGTAGTTCCCCCATAAATGCATACTTTATACGTTAAGTAGCTTAAATCTTCCAAGATGCTCTCAATGATATGAATATAACGGTTTTTATTATATGATACCGTATGACCACTAGGCTCTCTTCAAATGATATTGTCTTTCATCGCCTGGTGAATTAATACTTACACCGGAAGTGAGAACGTTACTTCCTGGATAAACACTGAATTATAGAAATGAAGATTTTTTATTTTGTTTGTGGTTTCCTATTGGTGACATTAGTTGACTCCGTTTCAAGTGCCTCAACCACACCAGCTCAAACAGCAGAGGCACCAACAACCATTCACCCTGTCACAACGTTAACACCAGAACAAGGTAAAAATGATGGATTTAGTGACGGTACAGTCATCATCATGCACTTACATGGGTCATATTCAAAAAATGTCGAATTTTGAAATTGCAAAATTGATTTAAAGTTACTTATTCAAACAACCCTCGTCTTAAGCAAATCAAAACAAACAGTACTTATAGAACAACGTATAAAAAGATGCAATCTTGATAATGTCATACAAGAATATATTGAAACATTTTTTGATAGGTGGTGCATTATTTTGTCTCTCCTGTTACCATGTTCAAAAGAAATTTTGGGTTATTTAGAAAAGGTTTCGATAAAATTTTAAGCCTATTTTTCGTAGCCAATAAGATGGTTTTCAAGAGTAAAAACTTCTATACATATTAATTCTGTGAAATGAATCAATGATAGATTATTTGCAAACTTTCCATGTTGTACTGAAAAATGCCTCTAAAAATTGGTTTTCAAAGGTTATGAAAATAACCACCAGTAATGCAAGTCTAAGATAGCAATTCATAATGTTCAGCATTTGTTCTCTCTTTCAAATAAACCCAACATCAAGTAAATCCCTCGCATGTTGGTTTACTTTTGTCTTTATTTTATTGGTAACAGGAACGTACGTAAATGATATATCACTACAATGTATATTAAGTTCTATCCTGTTACCGATAGCAGTATTGCTCCTGCAAATGCTAAATTGCGAAGATTAAGACGTTAAAACCTTTAGATGAGTTCAAACAATGAAACACATCATTATGTGTGCAACTATATGTTGTTATAAACTTTTTAAAGACGTTTCTGTCTACTATTGTCTATCCTGTTACTGTAATCATAGCAACCATAGTAACAGGATAGACATAACAGGATGGACAAATTCTTCATTTTTAAATGCTGTTGTGAAATAACTACTCCCTTTGATGAAGTGATAATGTTTTTCTGTTGTGATTTTGGTTTCGAACACGTTATTGCACTTTTTCCAAGTATAATATTGGTGTAAGTAATCAATATGTTGGTAACAGCATAGACATGACAAAAAAAACCCCACTATTTTTTTTCACTAAATGTCTTGAAATTTCTTTTCTCTACACTGTTATACAAGAAACGTGCTGTGTTAAATGTTAAGATTACTTTGCGCTTTTGAAATCAACACTGACTAGTTCAATATTCAAAGGGAGAAAAATTTAACGGCTGATTTAAGTAGCGGTAACAGGATAGACATGAACTTCATGTACGCTGATTGAATTTAGTTTGTAGAAAAAATGTTACATATAATAATAAAGAAGCTACGATTTTGCATTAGAGTTATTATTTACGTTCTAGAAAAGTCCCTTTTGCAGATATCAAGGCGATCAGAAAATAGGAAAAAAATCATTTGAAATGTGTTACTCGGACACTGTACGCACATAAATTACGCAAAAATCGGACTTAAATATATTTTAATCTTATCAAAATAGATCCAATACATTATTATTAATGTTCTGACTCATAAATCCTACAAACTTTCATTTAAACACTTACAACATCATTTTCCATTAAAAATACAAATTTTATCATGATGTACTGAAAATTCGACATTTTTTGAAAATGACCCACATAGGTTATGATTTCAGAGCTAAATACCTGGGCTACACATTCTCTATCCAAACTCAAATGGAATGACCATGTAATAAACATATATGCAATAGAAAAGTAAGCCTCCTAAATCAATATCTAGACATTAGATCATCATCTTTGCTTTTTAGACACACAGTGACAACCTGGTCGTTTTGTCCACACCTACTAGTTCGGCCATAATTCAGTTCAATACCATGTTTTATTTAAAGTCGTTATTCTGTAAACTTCATAAATACAAACTCTAGTGAGCTTTTTGAATTGACAGAATATATATACATGCAATTTCGGTCATTTTGAGATGACTTAAAAGTTGTGCCCTTTTTTCAAACTGTTGAAATTAGTCACACTAGATACATAGCATCAACGAACTTGAATTAACTGTTTCATCACATTTTTATGAATTTTCTAACCGTTTGTCTAAAAACATTCAAGATCAGTTAAAGGAATGCAACAGTTTAAAATTGAAATGATTTAAATGACTGAAAATGGTAAATTTCTCAAACTCGCTAACATTTCTTTTTATTTTGAAGACGAAATTAAAACCGGAGGTTTCACGACAATACTTTAGTACGAGTATTTCCAGGATTCATTCTGGTTATCAAATATTGACAGGAAATCACGGGATTTTTAATTTTATTACCTTTAAATGTGTTTGAATTCAATATAACAGATAATAGTTGCATTTGTTTACTTTAGCATGAAATCCTTTTGCATTTTACGATAAAGTGTCTAATCTGATGAAGACAATTTCACGCATGCGTATCACATAGTAAATAAAGCACACGTTTGACTTTTGAACAATTACTTTATTCTACGTAAATTAGCTCAAGTTTTAATTGTAAATCAGAATTGTCAATTGTCTTTTCTGAAAAGTTGTCATGGAATTATAATTTCTTTATAATATTAGTTCTGAGCTTGAGATCACTGTCTGGTGTGAATTGAAAACACAGGTAAAAAGTGATTAGCGATCATTAGCCAATATTTACCGGAGGCATTAATATGGTTATTAGGAGGGCCCTCAGGATTATCATACTATACTGGAGGGCAGTTTTATTACAGGAAAGGGATTACAAAACAAAAACAAGTGCAAAATGGCGATAAAGAAACCCGATCTCAATGAAATGACAGAAATTATTTCTGTAAAAAAATTAATTTGTCCAAATCCCAGTCAGGCATTTAGGAATAATATCAATCAGTTTAGGACATGACTGGCAAATATGATTCTATTGCAAAGTGGTCGTGGTTCAGCATTGATAGTAAAAAAAAATATCAGATAAGAAATGTTGAATGCAAATGATATGAATGTACGAAGTCTTATATTATAGGACTATTATAAAAATAGGTTCAACTTCAAATGTACAATCATGAAATAAGGAAGATAGCAAAATACAATATAATATTTTATCATTGCAAAATGAAGTCAATCTTTACCCTTCAGTGCTTACAAGCACTTTGATTTTTTCAATGGCTTTAGCCTGGAATATGTCAGGATTAACCTACATTATTTCATTATAAATATTACAAATAAGTGATTGAAAGAAATTTGATTTGAAAAGGAATACTATTTAACAAATAGTCATTTTATCATAAAGTGTGCATTTGCTGTGAAACATGATACAAAAATGTACAATAAGACTTTCTTAAGGTACACTTGGTTTAGACAATAATATTGTTACCCCTGACTTTGGTACTTGATTTCCATATTTTTTATAGCAGAGAATGAAAAAAATAATATTCTCATTCTCTTTCAAAAAAATTGAATAAATAATTGAATAGTTGTTCCATAACCATCATAAATATGAGAGACATGGACACCAACTTCTGCATCTAAGAATGAAAGCAAAATCTCAGAATAATATGACCAAGTACATGTACAAACACATGAGGTATATTGTACAGGTACATGTAGTATGTCCTGTGAATATATAAGATTTTTGGATTGATCTTCAAACAATTTGTACCTTAAATTGGTGTTTGCTGCTTCTCTGCCTAGCACACAGTATTTAAGAATAAGAGCAAAATCTCAGAATAATGTGTCCAAACACCAAAAAATGAGGTAGCATGACATGTCTTCCTTTAATCTGTTACCTTTTCAAATAGGACATTAAAAACCTTACTCATTCTGTTAGACTTAGATGGAACAGGAAGAACATGTATTATAATCATTTCACATTAACATTTTTGTCTTGAACATTCATGTAATATTTGCTGCTGGATTATGGATCAATCGTACTCTGTATACTGTTAATGAAAGTATTGTTAGCATTGATACTATCAAAGCCTGATCATCGTTATATTCAACATATTTTATGAAATAGAGCTACTATTTAAACTCATTTTTATAGCATTTTATTTATAGATGTACTTTTATTATATCTTTATAGAATGTGCTGCCAGAAACAGTAGTTGTGAAGAATGCTTGAAGCTTGCTAAGGTAATCCTTCAACTATAATCTGCTGTTTAAGTTAAGTGATTGATGTCAACTTTGTAAATGACATATTTTATTTGAATTACTTGTAAATGCTACAGATAAATGAGGTACATTGTACAGGTACAGAAATTGTCAGGAAATCTATCCAAAAACTAAATCCAACACAAACAAGTCAAAAATTTATTTCACCACATAAACTAATTTTAACTTGCAGAAGCCAGAACAGGAACATATATTTTTTAAGTCTGAGCTCTAACTGATTGTAATGTACTTTCATTTTGTATTTTTGCTTTGTTATAGATTTAGTAAGATTCTTTCCTGTTCAACAAGAGTAAAAGCTTTTTCTTTTACATCAGTCTTAGTAATGAAGGTCTTTAGAATTGAATATAAAACTTAATAAATTTTGTTCCTCCAAAGTGCTTTTTATCTCACCTGGCCTAAAAGGGCAGTGTGAGCTTTTGCCATCACTTGGTGTCTATCATCGTCCAAAGTCGTCCCTCCTCCGTTTCCTTTTTATAAAGATCATCTCCTCTGAAACTACTTGGCCAAATTTAACCAACCTTGGCCAAAATCATCAATGAGTTATCTAGCTTAAAAAATGTGTCTGATGACCCCTTCTGCCAACAAACATGGCCAACATGGCTTTAAATAGAACATAGGGGTAAAATGCAATTTTATTCTTTTATCCCGAAAACCGCTATGGATGCCCTTTAATGATGATTTTTTCCCAATTTTTGCATTCTTGTCTATCATCTTGAAAACTACAATAGAAAGAAAAAAACTCTTAAGGATGTTCGATCCTCTTGTTTTTGAATTTTTGCCGGATATTTTCGGAATCCTCTGGTTTTATCAATGTAGTGCCATTAAAAAATTTTCCCCACTAACCCCCATATTTTCTTTTCATAATAGTATTACACATAGTTTAAAAGGCCATATTTGGAAATGCTATAAAATCCTTGTTATTTTTTCATAATTTTTAAAAGAAAAAGGGTGCCAATGCTAAATGTATGAAAAGTATTGAGAGAATTATTTCCGCCAAATTTTCAAAGGCATATATCTCGAAAATAAGCACACGGACCCTTAATTTTTTTCGGCTTTTTTAGTTCCTTTATTTATATACTATCAATTTACAACAGTCTTTTAAAAAGCTTGTTATTTTGAAACATAGTAGCGAACATCTGTAATAGCAAAAATGATCAGCAAGACAAGATCTACATAATGGTCAAAATCTTTAGTCGACTTGTATTGAAGTTATTGCCTTTTTATTTACCATTATTTTGTTTTTGCCTATTATCTTGAAAACTGTAATAGATAAATAGAAACTTTAAATAGGAAAAATGAACATCAGGATAAGATCTACAAATACATCAACATGACAGAAATTGTCAGTTAACTCTTAATGATGATTTTTACTAAAAGGTAGGTTGAAGATGCAGGTAAGATACACAGGCTCTTTAGAGTCTCTAGATTGGATTTACCTTCAGTAGGCAAGCTCAAATAAAACAATTTGAAAGCCAAGGATGTTTAAATACTTGAATACTGGAGGAGCTGTATGACCAAAAGAGATTGAAAAAGAATAGCCTGATCCACCTAAGGTCAATTTTGCCCGAGGGAGTGAAACGTAAAATTTATGCTACTTCACTTCTTAGCTGCATATTTGTATAGGTTGGTTTTTAAAGATATGGTTAACCATTGTCAGTTTTTCATATGGATTGTACTGATATCTAACAGATTTTTCTTTTCTTTTCAGTGTCTGTACTGTAAATCTAATGGACAATGTACTCCATACCCTGTTGGAAAGGTTCTGCCACCAAGCAGTGTGTGTAAACTAGATCATGCTAGATGGGGAGTCTGTTGGTGTAGGTTTTCTTGGTTTATTATTGAGTGATTCAGCTGATTACTAAAATAAGTAGTACCAGTAATCTTTTTTATGTATTTAGAAAATGTAATATATGGGTTAGGTGAATATATATATATTTTGTCCTGAGTAGATTTATATATTGCAATTGTGGTCAGTGCTTAATAAATTGTAGGGGGATAGTTTACACCAATATCCATACAATATCCCTTTTATTGTATAGCAAAGCTAGAAAAAACTGTTTAAAACATACTTTTGTCACTACTTTGAAGGTTTCATTGCAGTAGTGCAATATGAAATTTATTTATTATTGCACAGTCACTTTAATATGGTCAAAATCTGTATGAAATATGTTGTTGCTCTACAATAAAATATATTATCACTAATGGGAGTTATAGGAGAGCTGATAATTGTCACAGTTTATAGATTTATATTTCAGTGAACTCTTGAGGTCCTGATTATGTCTATGATAATTATAGGAGAGCTTATAGTTGTCACAGTTTATAGATTTATATTTCAGTTAAATCTGAGGTCCTGATCATGTCTATGAGAGTTATAGGAGAGCTGATAATTGTCACAGTTTATAGATTTATATTTTAGTGATCTCTGATGTCCTGATTATGTCTATGAGAATTATAGGAGAGCTTATAGTTGTCACAGTTTATAGATTTATATTTCAGTTAAATCTGAGGTCCTGATCATGTCTATGAGAGTTATAGTAGAGCTGATAGTTGTCACAGGTTATAGATTTATATTTCAGTGAACTTTGAGGTCCTGATTATATCCAAGTGAGTTATAGGAGAGCTGATAGTTGTCACAGTTTATAGATTTATATTTCAGTGAACTTTGAGGCCCTGATTATATCCAAGTGAGTTATAGGAGAGCTGATTATTGTTTAAGCTATAGATTTATATTTCAGTGAACTTTGAGGCCCTGATTATATCTATGGGAGTTATAGGAGAGCTGATTGTTGTTTAAGTATATAGATTTATATTTTAGTGAACTTTGAGGCCCTGATTATATTGATAGGCGTTATAGAGTTTATAGATTTATATTTCGGTGAACTTTGAGGCCCTGATTATATCAAAGTGAGTTATTGGAGAGCTGATTGTTGTTTAAGCTATAGATTTATATTTCGGTGAACTTTGAGGCCCTGATTATGTAGTAGAGAATTGATAAGAAGTAGTGGATTCGTAAACGATAATCAACGAGCGACTTTAGTCGCAAGTTGATTATCGTTTCCGAATCCACTACTTCTTATCAATTCTCTAGCTTAACCCATTTCTAGTAAAACGACTGTCTGTTTTACGTTTTGACAATGAATCAACGATATTTCATAAAAATAGTTTCGTATTTTGTCTTTTTTATTCTATAATAGCTGGAAATGATTATATCCACACGGTTCGCATCTATATATAGACATTTGACAAGTTAACATAAGTTTAATATAACTTAAATTGGGTGTTAGCTCCCCTTTTTAACACCAGATTTTATTTTTGTATATACATATTTCATTTAATGTGTAATCATTACAAATTATTTAAATTGAATAGATTTTGGTATATCTAATTTATTCAAAAAGACATATATTAATATACAGAATTTATTTATCTTGTTTTGAAAAGTTAAAAAATTTTAATTACCAAAATTTAGAACATTTAAAATTTATATATATAATATTTAGCTACTTCATTTGGTATATTACAAACTAGACACCATTAAACCGTTCATAGTAAAATAGACATTATTGGCGTAGATGTCATAAATCTGCATTTTCATAAAGCTCAAATTCATGTTGCTTTCCTAAAATATTAAAATTATGTGCTTACGATTTAAATTGAACAATTATATTTAAATTTTGTTTAAACTGTTTCCGTTTCATTAAGTTAAGATTATTTTAACGTTATTGCATTTGGCATATATCGTTCACCGGTCAATAAACTAGTTTTATCTGTGGTATGCATTCTGAATCCCCATCAGAATTGCTCTTGCTACGGATATACAATGAATAATTATGTTGATTTCATAAACTTACCATCAAGCTGTTCATAGCCGTGATCGTCTAGTCGTTGGTAACGAAGGTCATAACGGTGATATTAACAGTGCAAAGTTCGAACCTTGTACCCGGAATGAAATTTTTCACTGTAATTTTTTTTCTAGACCAAAATATTGTTTTAATCCTAGAACATGTAGAAGTATTATATATTTCATTTTCATATAATGGCGATGATTTTGTTTCTGTTTTTACTGTCAAAGAAGTAGTTTTAACCCATTTCTTTAAAAGAATATAACACCCAAAATAAAACAAATTCAATAAACATGAACTAACCAAGATATATATATTTCATTAGATTACAAAAGCAAATAATCAATTAGACAGAAATACAGTTAAATGACAAATATTGACAATTAGGCGCTTTAAGAGTACTATTCAGAAATTGATTGATGTCAGCCATCGTGGTCTAGTGGTATCATGCATTGACTGAAGACTCTATTGGTTATGAAGAAAATACGCGCGGGTTCGAATCCTACACATGCCACTCGTTTTTGAGAGGATAAAAGATCGTAAGTTAAAAGTTTAAAGTTATAGCATAAGTTCTCTTAAGTTAATACTGTGGTCAGTGGATTCTTGAAAAATAATCTACAGTTAGAACAATAGACTGACGTCAGAGAAATGGGTTAAATATATTATAACTATGGGAGTTATAGGAGATCTGGTTGTTGTTTAAGTTTATAGATTTATATTTCAGTGAACTTTGAGGACCTGATTATATCTATGGGAGTTTTAGAGTTTATAGATTTATATTTCAGTGAACTTTGAGGCCCTGATTATGTCTATAGGAGTTATAGAGTTTATACATTTATATTTCAGTGAACTTTGAGGCCCTGATTATATCTATGGGAGTTATAGGAGGATTGATTATAATGGTTGTCACAGTTTGTATCTGTTGCTGTTGTTGCTGTAAAGATAACAAGAAAAAGTAAGTTTGTTTGTATACAAGAAATCTGCTATTGTACAAAAATCTTTATTTGTTATACCTACACTCAATTGAAACCAGCTTATAATAAGCAATTGACAAGAAATTATTTTTAACAAAAAAAAAAATTATTATACCACCCTTCCAATTGAGCTGGGCTGGTTTACTTCTCTCAGTCAATCTGTGACTTTCTCAGCAAATACAAATCAATCTCAGCTCCTTGATTTGTGGTACCAATCCTCATTGGTAAGCTATACAGTGTCAAACATTTTCAGATTCTACACTATTATCTAGTACCTGTTTACTGCATAATTTCACATTGATGCACATTTTAGAAATTTTCATTGAATTTTCCTTAGCAGCTTCAAATCAGGTCTTCTTGATATTTGATACCAAGTTAAGTGTTGGTAAGCTTAACTGTGTGTCTGTTGTCTGCCTCTACTTTGTTTGTTAAGTGTTGGTAAGCTTAACTGTGTGTCTGTTGTCTGCCTCTACTTTGTTTGTTAAGTGTTGGTAAGCTTAACTGTGTGTCTGTTGTCTACCTCTACTTTGTTTGTTAAGTGTTGGTAAGCTTAACTGTGTGTCTGTTGTCTGCCTCTACTTTGTTTGTTAAGTGTTGGTAAGCTTAACTGTGTGTCTGTTGTCTGCCTCTACTTTGTTTGGTATATGTTTTTGTAAAAGAAATCTTCTTTTATACAGCAATCTGCAATTTTATAAGAAATTTGCTTCTGTACGTGAAATCTGTTTTTGTACAGAAATCTGCTGCTGTATGATACATCTGGTATTGTACATATATTGCTATTTTCATTGTTTCTCTCACCATGACAACGTCAAATTCAATGTACCACTCTGAGTACTTCAGTAATTAATTTCTGTATGAAAATTGTCCTGATGACGCCTGCCCTGCAGGTGAAACATGTAGACCATAGCAAATAAAATTGCAGACCATTTGAAATGTTGTTGTCAATTTTGAGCAGCATATATTGCTATTGTTTATTCAATTTCCGTCTTGTAGCAATGTTTAGAAATGAATCTGTGGTGGTATAATTTACTGTCAGTTCAAAATAAATGTATTGTTGTTACTGACAACATATATAAAAATATGCAAACTTTAGTCATGGCTATAACTCTTATAATTATATGAGACCTCTGACGAATCACAATAAGGAGATTTTGACAAATCACGATAAAATTTTAACCAATTTGACACCTATGGTAGCCGAAAATGACCGTTTGACACCTGACGGTAAAGGGCATTCCTACCCTCATATATCACTTTCAATTCATCACGCTTTGCATAGGCAGCAGCCAATTTTGTCTAGTTGAAAACCAGTCTACAGATTGCAAAAGGAAACAACTTAAAAGTGTGTAATAACAGAATCAAATCAGTAATTGGCAAATAGATGATTTAAACCATGTGAAACAACAGAGATCATTTTCAAAATAAGTTTACTATTATTATATTTATTAAAAGTAAACCTTATTTAAAAAAAAATGTTATCATTTTTATACGCCCGTTTACGGGACGTATTATGGTATACCGTTGTCCGTTTGTCCGTCCGTCGTCAACATGTCGGACATTAACTCAAAAATGCTTTAACCAATTTGCATAAAACTTTAGTGAATTGTTTATATCTATTGACATGAGCTCCATTTTGATTTTTATATATTTTAAATTTTACGTTTCCGAGTTATGGGGTTTTATTCATTAAAAAAAGGGGCATTTTCCAGTTTTCGGACAATAACTCAAGAATGCTTTCACCAACTTGCAAGAAATTGTGGTGAATTGTTTATATCTATTGACATGAGCTCCCTTTCGATTTTTATATATTTTAAATTTTACATTTCCTAGTTACAGAGTTTTATTCATAAAAAAAGGGGGATTTTCCAGTTTTCGGACAAAAAATCAAAAATGCTTTCAGCAGTTCTTATGAAACTTTGGTGAATTGTTTATATCTATTGATGTAAGCTCCATTTAGAATTTTATAAATTTTACATTTTACATTTCTGAGTTATGGGGTTTTATTCATTAAAAAAGGGGGGATTTTCCAGTTTTCAGACAATAACTCAAAAATGCTGTCAGCAATTCTCATGAAACTTTGGTGAATTGTTTATATTTATTAATGTAAGCTCCCTTTACATTTTCATAAATTTCTAATATGACATTGAGAATTAATTGAACTTTAATTGTTTATAGTCTGACAACAGATTTACTAAGTATTGCACAACAGCAAGAAATCTTTAATTGAATATAAATTCAATTCATGTAACCAATTTCAAGTTCTTTGACTACATTTATTTAGAAACCTATAATATGTCAAATATTTAATACAATCCAAATTCAGACCTGTATCAAGCTTGAATATTGTGTCTATTTTTGCCCCAGCTGTTCAGGGTTGGACCTCTGCGGGCGTATCCAGCTGCGCTCAGCGAAGCAGTTTATTCAATTAATTGTACATTTATCCTTGAGTTTTCTATAGAAAATTACTGATTTATAAATAAATTGGTCTATAACAGTATCAGTTATAAAGTTTTTTTTTTTACTTTTTGTACTTTTCATTCCTTTTGAATTATAGGTATGCTAAAGAAGATGAAAAATGGGAGAGAAAGAAGGCAGACAGGAAAGAAAAAGCTAATGAGAGGTATATTTCCATTCTTTACACACAGATAGTGTCTTTTTAAGAAATTTTATTATATAGATATTCATTAACTGTAAATATTTCCTTATACATTTGTTTTTGCAAGTACAAATAAGAATTCTAGTGGTTTAAAGAATTCATCAATTTTATGAATATAGAGCATAATTAAGTTTAAAATGTTCATTTTAAGCTGACATGTAGTTGCCTATTCACATCTCCTTATTTTTATAACATTTTGGGGGAAAAGATTGCATTCATGCAATCAAAACCCTTATATGTCTGGCTTGACTTTGTCACTACTTTGAGATAGCAAAACATATTGCATTCTGTACATCCCATCCATGAAAATTTTGTTGTATATCATTTTAGAAAAGCTGAGAGAAGGGCCAAAACAGATGAGATAAGGAGGAAATATGGTATGTGTTTTTAATAACAGAAATGAATGTTTGACCTGTGTAACAGTAGATTATGATTATCTTTCAGAAATTACTAAGGTGCTAACCAGGATTGGAACCTGAGACTCCTGGCAAGCTACTGCTCTACCAACTGAGCTAGAGGAGTTCTCTACTAGCACAGCTAACGGAGGACTGATATATATCTGCTAAGTCAATGGAAAAATGCCTTGACTTCCCCCACCTCACAGGTCATATCATAATGACAATATCCAACATCAAACCCTAGCTAGATTATCCTAATCTCTTTTAAACACCATAGGTTTTTCAATAGAACCCAATGTAAATGTAGAGGCTTGGTTTTACTTTTAAAAAATAAACACTGTACCAGCCTTGAATTAAATCTGAGACCCCTGGCATAGCAAGCCACCACCCTATCAACTTATCTAAACTAGTACTCCACTACAGAAGCTAATGGAGGGTGGTTATATATCTTCTTAGTCCAGCAAACCACCACTTCACAGCGTTGGGTACTTATAACAACTGTAAACCCAACAAAACTTTGTATTTTCTGATTATTTCAATCCTGACCATACAGATTGAAATATACTGAGTATTGTCAAATTAAATACTACATGTCTACGATAATGTCCTAACATTTTAACACCACAATTTAAGGCTGATCATGACATTGTAGGTCATGCAACGCAGTCAGGTCCATTCAAAGTTAGTGGAGCTGGTTATAGCACTGTAGTGCTTTGATTTGTATAACTTATAATAGATTGTCTTTCTCTTCTATAAAATGGTGCCAACTAGAAACTTAATGTTTTTTTTAACCTTATCAGGAATCGAAGTCAAAGGTATGAAAAATGTTGTATTCCTTAGTGTTGTAAACTCTTATCTTTTTATACATATACATGATTGTTTTTTTTTTTACTTAGATAATGCAATTTGTATCTTTATATATATATTTTCAATTTGTAATTTTAGATTGAGATAGTTGCGGTAATTGATTGCTGCTGCACAGGAGCATTTTTATAAAAAGAAAAGATAATTTCCTTATAAAAGCAAAATTGATCTTTCTCTGGTTCTATAAAAAAATTCAAGCTTTTTGTCTTCACTTACCTTAGAGGTTATGATTTTTGTTTTTTTCTGAACTTAGTTATTATTTGCTTATTTTTCTCTTGCTTGTAACAAATGTTAAGAATGTGAGCCATAGGTGTTTCTCTTCTGATGTTATCATCAACACATTTTTCAGTAGGGAACGGGGGCATTATTTTTTTGAATGAATTCTATCAAGATCGATAAATACCTGATAAAAACACCAAGACCGGGTAATCAAGACAAAAAGAACGAAAATGAAAATGACAAGTCGATATAAATTGAAAAAAGGAGGCTGAGAAAGACGGGAGAATTCCAGATGTCATGCCGAACAGATTTCCCCTGGCTCTCCAGTGAAGAAACTTCTGAAAATAAATTAATTTTTTGCTCAATTTGTAGGACACAACACATCTTGCTGATCAATAGTCTATATCAATTTGTTGGCAAATTAATAGATATAATGGACACTTAATGATCTATTATTTACTTTTCATTTCTTCACTGGTTTCAAAACTTTGTACATGTACCTATATATACTGGCTAGCATTTTTAAAACATTGCAAAATTGCCCTCTAGATGTCTTTTGGTTGTTTTGCTGTTGGGTTTCTGTCTCATTGATATTAACCCTATACCTCCTTTTATTCATACACATACACAAATATCACAAACATCATTTATATTGTGATACAAAACAGTTTTAAGAATCATACAAGCTTACAGTAATTTCTTTAATATTAATTGGGAAATTCTGGGCAAGCAACTATTTTTCCAGACAAGTAGAATTTACAATTTTACTTGCCCAAAGACAAGTGATCAAAACAAATATCTTCACACCCTTGAAGTATTATCAATAAAAATTTATTAATGATATCAGGGTTGGCAAAGTATTTTCCGGGTTTTCCTGGGCTGGGCAATACTCCCAGAAACAGGTAATACTGGGTAAAATGATTTTTCAAGCTTATTTTTACACAAAATAGTAAAGACTTGTTGTAGTTTAATTGTATTATAGCTAAATATTTACATTTTATGCAGGTAACCATTGAGAGTCATTCCTGCATAATTTGAAAATTCAATTTCTTCATTTTCTCCACTAATTCTATATATGTAGACAGAAAGCAAGTTTTGCACATTTTAGGATACCTAGTTAATTTCCAATCTTTGTTTCAATCAATCAAAGGGGGCCTCAGTGGCCGAGTGGTCTAAGTAGTTACTACTGTAACCACTAGCCAGTCAACACTGAGGTTGTGAGTTCGAACCCCGCTTGTGCGGGTGCACTTGACTCCAATCTTAATTGACTAGGATTGTCAGTTTTTCTATTGAAGGTCGGTGGTTTTCTCCGGGCACTCTGGCTTCCTCCACCAATAAAAACTGGGCGCCACAAAATAGCCCAAAAGCGGTGCTTAAAGTGGCGTTAAAACACCAAAAATCAAAAAAAAATCAAATCAATAATCTAATTTGAAACTTTGAAAAAATGTATTTTATTGCTGTTTTTAAGTGAATTGTAAATTTCAATTGTTATATAATTCTATTGCTAAATAAACACCCCAAGGGGACAGGCCATGAACACCTATAGAAATCAAAAGGCTGTTTATTGTTATATGAACAAATCTGTGTTATAATATCAATAATTACTTATTAATTAGTGATGTACATAAACATATATACTAAAACTTAGTAAACATTTTTAGTAATGAACAAAAAAAATTTTCCTTACATATAATTGTTAATTGTTAATATAAGTTATATTTATTAAAAAAAAACAAATTGAATTGTTCAACTCTACATCAACACTTTGACCAATCGAGACAGAATGGCGATTTAATAGATTTTCAGGAGGATTATGTGTCTTTATGTACACTTGTCTTAGAGTTGCTGGACCATTAATATTTTCTCAGATTTGTACACTTTATATTTAGAGTCTCAAACAAGTGAACTTATAATAAATTAAAATACTATATCTTATTTTTGTAAAAAAATCTTTAGTGTATTGCATTTGTGATTAATCCTCTATAAAATTCAGGCCAGTATTTCATATTACCCAGTATTGCCCAGTATTATCTGGTAAAACCCAGTAAAACACAAGTTTTTCCAGTATTTCCCACTGGGTTGGGCAATACTTATAAAACCCAGGTTTTTGCCAACCCTGAATGATATGCCTTTTGTATGTTGTGTTGGCATCAATACATTTCAGTTTATGGGAGAATAAACAACCTTACCCCTTGGTCATGATTCAGTGACTTTGAAAATTGTTCAGAGGTTTAAAGAATATGTTTGAAAACAATAAAAAAATCATTTAATCATGGCAAAAAATACATCTCACTTGTTTGTAATAAAAAAAATGAATGCCTTCAACACTCATGGAAATGTAACCTATTAGATACATGTAAAATGGCTTAAGGATTAAAAGTTTTGATACTTTGATATGAATAAAAGGAGATATGGGATACTGTGGATTCATCTATTTTTGTGGGTACCAATTTTCGTGGATTAAGGAAAACTTACATGTTCGTGGATATTTAATTTCGTGGTTTTGCCGAAGTCTGCATATAAGCCTATAGAAAATTTGTTATTCGTTGAACATTTAATTTCGTGGTTCACCTGTATCCACGAAAATTAGTATCCAACGAATAATAATGAATCCACAGTATACAACTATGTGACAACAAACCAACAACAAAAATACATCTTGAGGTCAACATACAGTCTTCAACAATAGACAAGTGCCCAATTCTTGTGTCAAGAACTAAATTGCCAAGAGTCCAAAAAATGTGTCTATAAATTTAACAATTAAATTTTTTGCCGTCATTTCAAAATCTCATTTAAAGAAAATGACAATATAACTCAAGACAGTGAATGGCAAAGTTCCTAACTTGTAACAAGCACATGAACATGCAGCTAAAATAGGGTAAAGAGTAAAGCTCATAATTTAGATTCTAAACATGAAAAACTTTTATGTTAAAAACTTTAATGAAATTAGCCTGTGAAACATTGAAGGCTTTTCTGTAAACATTGGTTAAAAATTATAAGAGGATGAAAACCTACTAAATCAGTCTGTTTATTATTATTTGTTAGCATGCAGAATTTACAATGAAGTAACTACAACAGGTTTTTAAATATTTTTAAAAGTTTTTAATGTTGAAACTTCTATACTATATTAATGGGTTATTTTTTGCAGGTCTTATGAAAGATGACAATCCATATGAAAGATTTGAAAATGCCTAAAGAATACCACCAAAGGGCAAGACTGTGAACTGGAGTGTTAAATTTTAATTATTACCATTAAATGACTGTGATTATTGAAAGATTTTTTGGAAATGAAAAAGAAATTTATGTAGATCACCAATTTTGTTTGAAAAGAAAATGAAACATTTGCAACAAAGACTGTTGAAAGTAATAGCTCGTCTAAGGTTATATGAAGAATGTCAAATTTTCACATAAATGAAGCTTTTTTAGTTTTTACTTTTCCAGTGTAAATATTTTCTCTTGTATTTTGAACCTTTTTTTAACTACACATTTGAAAAAGTTCTGTATTTGCTTGAAGTTGTAACTGTAATCATTGCAGTGCTGCCCTATATTTATTGTGGCATTTGATTAAGTATCTAAACACTTAGCTACATAAATGCTACATTCGTTGACATTTTAGCTTTCATGATTTAAATGGAATATGCTTAAAAAGAAATGTTAGCTGTTTTTCAAAAGCAAGTGTAAAACTTGACTTCTATCAAATCCTTGTTTACCCAGTATATTGGAATGCTCAGACACACATAAACACAAAATACATAAATATTTGAACGGTTGAACGTTCCTTCCCTCCATTGTGGATAGTTCACTTAAAACTTTAATTTACAAAAGGTTGTGAACTGCAATGTTTAGTTTGTTTATAGCTGTCACTATATAATATGTATATACAGTTTATATTGAGGCAAGATAATACAAATTCTTAGTGGATATTATTGTCCTTTTTAAACAGAAAAACTGCTTTCTATTAAAAATGTGAATGAGCCCACCGTCCACCTACTTTGCTAATTAAAGAAGGTTTATCACTTTGTGAGTATTTTATATCTGTTTTTTATGCCAGTTCTAAAAGTCTTCCAAAAAATCATAATTTATTTTTCTAAACATTATTTTGCATATGTTTTAAAGAGGTAAAGAAAAGGACAAAAGTTATATTCTTAAAAAAAAATTGATAAATAATTCTGGACAACAACTTGTATTTAATAAGTGTGTTGTAAGCTTGTATATAACATTTTTGTCATGTATGATATGAGAATTTTTGTTTTTATTAGAACATACAATGGTCTATGTTATTGTCCACTTTAGTCAGAATGTTATAGTTATTTATTTGATTTTCTTTGCATTCAACCAGTTTTGACCAGTTTGATAGATTTGTGATGAATAACATATTAATTTAACTGTGGCATGTGATTTCCCATAATTCATTTTGATTATTGCACTCGAGAGTTTTTCACTAAATGGTTATAGATTCTATCACTTGACCTTATTTATGATATTTATTCATTCTCGATGGTTAAATATTCTACATGTTTGGTAAGCCTCATGAAGTTAACTACCAGTACTTAGAATGGATGAAAAACATAATCAATAGGGAATTGTAATGTAATTCAGTTTTTTATCATATGTAGGGAAATGTAATTTTAAGGTAAACAAAGTTCCATTGAGACAAGTTGTAAACAAATTACAAGTTTCTTTCAATATAAATCATATTCAAGTAAAATCATCTTCTGATTAGAACAAAACAGATTTTATCAAAACTGTTTTTCTAATTGTAAAAAGAACACTTTTCCATGTTACAATTATTACAAGAAAATAGTATTTTTTAGTATGGAAGTGTTTATGTGATTATGCTGTGCAATCATTGTATATAGTGCAGTAATGCAGTCATTGTTTTGTGTCATTTCAGGATAGGAATTTTTTTCTTGTACTTCTCCAAACAAATTATTCATGCCAGTGCATTCTATTTGGTACTTCATTTTAAGTTTGTGAAAAAAGCCATATATACCTGTTAAAACAAATGTCTGCATATATAAAAAGTTTTTATCAAGAAAAGGAAACACTTTCTTGCTTTCTTGCCCGTGAGACATGTATGTATGTATGGTAGAGATTATTATTCCTTTGGATGTAATGAGAATTAGGAACCTTTGAACTATTAATGCTGAATACAACTTTGCCTCAAATATTTGAGAAAGCTATTTAAACAATGTAAACAGATATTATTACTCCATATTTGACATAACTGTATTGACTTCTTCTATCAAAGAATCCCCTACAGTAGTTAGGAAGTCCATAAGTGTTTTTATTAGACAATCAAAGGTTTGAAAGATACTAGAAACAATGTGAGGAGGTTAAAGTCACTTTTAGAAAGCAAATTCACAAAATGTTCTTATAAACTTGAATGGATGTCTAATGTTAGAAAAAAACAAAGTCCCAAATAGACTTTTTTTTAAATAGTTCTTTTTATTATAGGCAGGTACATAGGTTTTATTAAACTGGTGAACATATTGTTAAATTAAAATATTTCAAAATTGTAGTGATAAATCATCAATCCTAACAAAAATTTAGCATTAGATTGGACGACTTGCGACATTCTGGGTAACTTGACTATTTCATTCTTTATTCTGAAGATTGTACCTCCTGATGATTTATTTTTGTAAATAAATGATTAGATTGTTAGAAATGTTTGTGTCATTATATTCCTCCTCCAGTAAATGTCACTGAATTTGAGACATCAGCATGCTTATATGGCAGCAGCGGTGTCATTTTTTGTTTTTTAAATGAGACAACACTCAACCAGTGAAAAAATGATGTAAAAGTTTTCAACTATAGGTCACCGTATGGCCTTCAGCAATGATCAAAACCCAAACTGCAGAGTAAGCTTTAAAAGGCCCCAAATGACAAATTTAAAACTATTCAAATGAGAAAACTAATGGCCTGATTTATGTACAAAACAATAAAAGACTAGATGTATTGGAACTACACGAATGGCCCCACTCACCAAAAAAGCTTGAAGCCATTTTTAAGAGTGGAAATTTGAGAACGAAAGTCCGTATAACTGTTATTTTCACAAAATATTCCAGTCCAAAGCCTGTTATTTCGGCCGAAAACAGTGGAGCTGAACCATACTTAAACTTGATCTGTAACTTATCATAGTAGACTCGCATACTAAAATCAGCTCAAAATGTGTAGGCGTTTAGGAAAAAAGGCGGTATAACTGTTATTTTCACAAAATAATCAAAAGTCCAAAGCCTGTAATTTCGGCCAAAATCAGTGGAGCGAACCCAATATGTGAAGGCGTTACGAAAAAAGTAATATAACTGTATTGTCACAAAATATTCAAAGTCCAAAGCCTGTAATTTCAGCAAAAATTAGCGGAGCAAAAACAAACGTAAAGTTTTTTTAACTTGATCTGTAACTCATCATAGTAGACTCGCATACTAAAATACAGCTCAGTGAGGTCAAGGTTGTTTTTGAAATGAAAATGGGACGGACGGTCAAGGGTAACACTTAATGCCCCCTTTCCCTTGCAGGGGGGGATAAAAAAGTCCATAACTGTTCATTGTGGAATGACGGGTAAGGGTAAAACTATATGTCCTATATGGCCCCGACCACTTTGAGATGGGGCCATAAAAAAACAATTAGATATACGCCAACAAACAACCTATCCAACAACCACTGAATAACAGGCTTCTAACTTGGGACAGGCACCTACAGAATGTACCAGGGTTTAACAAGTTTCTTGGCGCGACAACCCTCCACTTACCTAGAACTGTGGTGTAATTGTACAACATAAGAACAAACTATAAAAATGTGTTGAAAAGGATAAACTCAAAGCACAAAAACACAAAGTACAGATTTAAGAGTACTCACAGTTGCGGAAAGCTAGTTCAATGCCAATAACAACTAATAAAAAGAATCATGTATTTATGACTAAAATATCAATCAGTACACATCCAACATCCAATGGATCTAGTATAATGACGTCATTTATATTCAGAGAAAATTATGACCCTGAGCTTTATATTTCAGAATAAGATCTGGATAATGCATGTTTTGCATCCAGATGACTGTAATATGCTATTCAATTTTTGTTTTGTCCTTGACCTCATTTTTATAGTTCAGTTACTGTATAAAAATTAAAATTTTCGAATTAAAATTTCGTTTTGGAAATTAAATACTCACCTTCATAAATTAAGATATTAGTCCACTCACTGCTTTTATCAGCCAGAAACTAGCCAGATAAAAGAACCATACCTCTTTCACACCATCCCCACCTGACTCATGCACGCCATATACCTTCTATTGTTCCTTGAATTGCTAGGCAATGGAGGATAGGGGACTAGGGGACGGGACTTCTGATTTATGAAGGTGAATATTTAATTTACAAAACTAAACTTAAATACCCCAGCTTCATACATTTAGTCAAACATAATTTAACGAAGCTCTGAAACCCCTCGCCAGGACGAGGAAAAACAACCTGATACGCAGCGATTTAGGGTTATAAAGAAGAGGTTGTCAAAATGATGGGGCGTAGAAAGTAAATAACAGTTATAGAAGGCTCTATCTGACATCTAAAAACAAGCTGATATAATTTCCCCTAAAGAGGAGGCATCAAAAATATTCCAAGAAGAGGCTAATGCTATAAATTCATGAGCTTTAACTTAATGTCTAGCCAAAACTTCAGATGAAGCAGACTTTTAGACCAATATGGCAGGATTGCAAATTCACGGGCTGACGAAACAATGTACAAAAGCAAAGTTCTCACAGGACACACAACCTGCTTACCTGCAGAAGGCGTTATGGCAGGAATAGTGATCCAGAACATTCATTAGGTAATTGATTCTGAGCTTAAAAGGCATGACCAGTAAGAAGAGTAACTGAGGACATATCGGCCGCAATGCGGAGGCAACTCTGAAATAGCTAGACCAGGCATAAATCACACTCCTTCATTGAACAGTTGCCAACGCCGTCTGAAAACAACATTTATCAGATAAAACTTATAAGTGGCTGAAGAAACTCCAAGACAACCCAAGTCCCAAGAAGGCACCAAACGCCTTTGACGAGGTCTTTCAAGACAACTGTTTAATCAATAAGGAAAAAACTCCATCTCCAAAGTCTGAACATACAGGAAGACATACATAAAGTTCTGGCTAAAGCAAATGGATAGCCCTTAATAGTAGACGGGGCATAATCTTTGTCTTCGAAAGGATGAAGGGAAAAATCGCTAACTGTTGCACAGTAAGTGGTGAGAGAGTATCAATTTGTCTGGATAAATACCAAGAACAGAAAATTGACCATTTGGAGTCATAAACAGATATGGTAGTCTGCTTGACTGACCCTGAGATACGCTTGATTGCTCCTTCAGAAAAGCCTCTTTTCTGAGGTAATTGCTGACCGTAACTAAGCGTGCAGATGAAGATTGTCCAGACCCTGATTGAATTGAGGTAGTAAGTCGTTCCTGAGAGGAAGGTGAAATGGCTTAAAACAACACAGAAGATGTAGATCTGGGAACCTTATTGTCTTGGCCATGCCGGAGCAATAGGCAGGGGTGTTTCTAGGATATTAGAAACACAGGCGCTTGGGTATATGATACAGAATGTTTTTTAAATTTTTTTTTTTTGTTGATTAAAATATTCCATTTTCTATATTTATACTACATATCTATCACTACTGCGCATGTCTCACCTAGTTTCGAGTGATTTTACCAACTCTAAGACAAACCCCCATTTTACTATCCATACTAAGAAACAAATTTTGTTCTTAGTGTGGATAGTAAAATGGGGGTTTGTCTCAGAGTTGGCGTAGAATTTTTTGCTAAAAAACATAAAATAATTGTGAAATTGTGAAATGCACTATTAAATGTAAAAATATTAGCAGATTACGAGTTTGTTTGGTTTTTTTTTTTAAAGGGAGGGGGGGGGGGGGGCGTACGCCCATTACGCCCTCACCTGGACCCGCCCCTGATAGGGATGGTCTTAAAACGATTCCTTCGAATTTTGTGCAAGATCTTGGGAAGAAGAGTTACCGAACATTCCCTTCCAAGATAGCATCTGCAGCCCAAGCTTTTTCATCAAAAATGGTGGCAAATATATCATTAAGAGGACGATCCCATATGCATCGGAGAGTGATCTCATAAAGCACTGATGGATGAAGTTTCCATTCGGTGTTCATTGGAACACACGAACGGGATAGGGCATCCACCAGAAGATTTTGACTGCCTGGAACTTCCGGCATGTTTCACTGACAGAATTGTCTCAAGACTGTGACAAAGAAGAATTTCCTTCCTCAGAAAATACAGCGAAAAGATTGAATTCCCACTTGATTTTAAAGGTAATTAGATCACTACTGTCAGTGACTGACCTTGAATCACAAGCCGAATATGAAGTAGTGCAAGTATCACAGCCCTCATCACTAGGAGATTGATGTGATCCTCAAACTGAGCACCAGATCAAAGACCTGAAGCTGTTCTGTCCTCTAGGTAAGCTACCCAAACCAATCAAATTCTGTGAACTGAAATAGAAGGATTCTGGAGGGTTAAACGATACTCCCTTCAAAAGATTTTTTAACCTGAAGCCTCCACTGCAGATGAGTTAGCAACCGAGGAATAATATGAACAAGGCCTCCCACAGCTGATAAACTGGGTGCCAAAGTTCTAACAGATACCACTGAATTGGACAAATGTGAAATCGACCCAGAAGAATGGCATCCATGATTTATATCAAGAATCCGATTAGCTGAAGAATCTGAGGACTGGCACAGTCGAAACCTGTAACAGGATACTGACCAACTAATGTACCTTGATAACTTCCTTCCTCCAGACCTAATCCAATATATGTTCGAAAATGCTCTCACAGGGAATTTCTCACTGGGAATCATCTCTGATTTTTTTCCATGAACTAAATAAACTGTTAACAAGAGATATATCTCTTCTTTTTGTAATTTTGATAATGCAAATGTTGAAATTAAAATAGCAATACTTTAACATGTAAGTTATGCAAATATTCAAAGTCAATGAACCATGACTGAAGGTACATGGCTAAACAATCTCCATGGAAATGAGATGTGCCAATGCTTATACAACTGCATACTAAATACCATTGACTTATCATAAGTCGTTCACTTTACACAAACCTAAACACAAACATTAACTTGTAAACTATGTAAAAGTTTCAAAATCAATGAATCATGATGAGGGGCTGGGGCTATATAATCTCCATGGAAACAAAACTTGCAAATGCCAATAAATTTGCATATCAAATATCATTGACTTAACATTAGCAATTCATCTTAAACTGATCTAATCACAAACTAATACATGTAAACTAAGCAAAAGGGGGCGGGGTCAAATATTCTCCATGGAAATGAGATGTGCTAATGCTTATACAACTGCATACCAATGAACATTGGCCTATCACTAGTGATTCCCCATAAACTGACCTAATCACAAACTAATACATTGTTGACGCCGACGCCGCCGCCGCCGGAAACAGAATACCTATGTCTCCGTCAAGGCGAGACAAAAAACTATGTCTCAAGAGTGAATGGGTAGCAAATTCGTTGTGTTCCTCCGAAAGAGAATGGGAATGATTCGTGATTAGAGAATCGTCTAGGTAGAAATGTATGAGCACCGCCTGAGAATGTAGGTAAAAATCCTTGTGAAAACTAGGGGAGCAGTAGAAA